TTGCTACAACGTGAAGTATAAAGTGCTTTAGTGATATTCTGGTTTCTTCTAAACTTCTGTATACTCTATCCTGCTTCTTTGTTGACTCTATTATTTTCAGCACTAGTAGTCTCTGCTCCTTAACTACTTTTTTTGAACTTGGGAAAGCTATGGGATCTTTCTAAGTATTAGTTTCATAATCTGTAAAATGAAACAAAAATATCCCTTCATGTGAGTGCAATGTGTAAAACAAAACATATATTTCTTTTTCTTTTTACTATTAAATAGAAGGCAAGGTGTAGCCCAACAAATGTGACAAGTTACAACAAAGGAAGTGAAGCAGAAAAGCTTAATTTTTGCTCAGTGGATGCAAAATAATGCATTTATTTTTTATTCATTGAGATATTTACTGTGGTCCTACCATGTTGCAGGCATTGATTTTAGCACTTAACATACAATAGCCAAAAAGAGAAAGTTTCTTGTTAATGATACTTTTAGTTGAGTAGGGGAGGGTCAAGAGATATTTGTATTTTAGACAACCAAATACAATTGCTGAAGAATAATTTCTTCAATCAACAACTCATTAAGTTACCTTGGAAACAATTAAAAAATTATGTTCAAAGTTATGTTATTACAATAAAAATAGTACTACTTTTAGAAACTTTAGAAAACAGTGAAGATTAAAACCACTCAAAATTCCCTAATAGTATGATTTTTTTGGTTGATCAATTGTCCAAGCATGTATTATATATTTTTAATCTATTTTTTAAATTTATTTGGTTTGGTATAAACTTTCCTTTATTCACTGGTTTAAAATCCTACCTTTACTGCATACTAGATTCTTATGCAGATTTAACTCTGGATAGTTCTGTTGCAATTTCTCATTCATACAAGATAAAACTCTTTTAACTGTTATAGTTTTATAATATCTTTAAGTGCCTGAGAGTAATATCTTTTAATTCATTTTACTTTTTAAAAATTTTATCTTTGGGAATATAAACTAGTATATTATAAATGTCAACATTGTTAGAGAGCGAGAACTGCAGTTTTAACTAAGGAGAGCAGATAGAAACTTGGGAAGGATGTGTCACTCACTTTGGCTAGATCCAGAATGAACAATATTATTTGGTTTGGCAGAGAGGAAAGAAAAGGGTATTTTGAACATGAAAACAGCTTGAACAGAACCCAGAACATGCAACATCTGCGTAATGGGGGATGGGAGAGGCAGAGTGGAAGTCATCTAATATTTGTTGAGTGCCTGCTAATAGTCACCATGCTAAGACTCACTTAGGGATTACTCTGGTCAGCTAACTTTAACTCATCAATATATGCTCAGTGCCTTGCTTTCAGTCTGTTACGACTTGCAGATAAAACAGAGTTTCTGAAGACAGTTTGTTCATATAAAAACATTGAATTAGTCAGTTTCTTGACCCCAAAACCATACGTTTGGGGTGAAAAATTCATTGTTTAGTATGCTATCTTTGGCATTTTGGGTTCTTTATTTGTAACCTCTACCCTCTAGATGTCAATAGCTATCCTGCCCCCTGGTACACAGACAACTGTATCTGTCTCTAGGCATTGCTAAGTGTCCCTTCAAGGGAAAGATCAATTCTACTTGAAAAGTTTGGATTATAACAAATATAGAAAAGGTGGTGAAGGGTTTTGCATTGTACAGTGTACTTCAAATATCCTTTTCTTTTTTTAATCTCCAAAATTCCATTTAGGTTGTTTTTATTTTCCTGTTGTTATTCTGACCTTACTCTATTGCAGAGTTTCTTAACTGTGGCACTACTGATCTCTAGGCTGGATAATTCTTTATTGCATGTGGGAGGGAATGCCCTATGCATTGTGGGACATTCAATGGTATATCTGGACTCTACACAGGTTATACTAGTACTACCAATTACCAAGCCCAGTGTGACAAGCAAAGCTGACTGCAGACATTGACACAATTGACCATGATGTAGAATCACTGGTACAGACTACACCAAAAATAGCAAGACTGCAGAGTGTCATTCTACACAACCACATAAAATATACCTTGTGTTTGCAATATGTGATGAACATATTCATTGTAGGATATTGGTATATATATCTATATCTATATCTATATAGATCTATATCTATATCTATATCTATATAGAGATATATAGATATCTCATTTTGATGCTTTTTACTTTCCCTTCCTCTTCCCTCTCTCCTCTCTCTCCCATTCTAGGATCTTGTACCCATTTCCACAAGATATTTCCTTGTTTCCTATCATCTTTCTTCCATTTTTCTCTATAAGGTATTTATACTTTGGATTTCCATATTAGAGGAACCATGTGATATTTGACATGCATCCAATTTCTTTCATGTAGCTTTGATTACATTGTTTTGCATGTGTGTGGTAGCACTGCTGTATGTGCAAGATATTCTCTAGAGTGTAGTATGTCTAGCAGCCACAATTCACTAGATGCAGTAGTGCTCCCCTCCACCCAAAGTTATGACAACCAATACTATCTAAAAATGTCCTCTCTTGTGGGGCGCAAAGTCATCCCTGTTTGAGAATCATTGTTGTAGCTTACCTTTCTCTCTGTATATATTTATTCTTTTTTGCAGCCTTTTAGAAGAAATACATGCTGGTCTTCTCTTTTTACTCAGAGACAGAGTGATAATTTTTATTCTGTCACTCTCTAACTCACATGGTTTAATTGTGGAATTTTTTCCTAACAAATACAGCATTGCCTCCAAGAGAGATTCTCACAAATAATGTATATTCTAACTTGCTAAGCATTTATCATTTCTCCTCTGACTGAACAGGGACAGGTCATTTGAGCATCTATTTCAGGTTCTGCTATAGACTGCCTTTGCATTTGAATAAATTTTCACATACAACTCTTTTGCTTATATCTAGATATACCTCCAAAGTCACATGCACTTATAGGTGGGGCTTTTGGGAGGTGATGGGATCATGGGTGTCTGATACTGGACTAGTCCACTGATGGGTTGATAGCTAGATGTGATATTGGGAGGTAAAGCCTGGTGGGAAGAGGTAGGTCACTGTGGGTATAGACTGGAAGGTGATTCTGCCAAAAAATGCGTACACACTTCAGCAGTTCACCATACTAACAAAGGCCTAGAAGCTAATGGCTACCACTCTGATTACCTCTTGTAATTGTAGAGGCCCAAAGGTGACTTGTATTAATCTTATAATGTCTCACTAAATGTATTAAAATATTTATGTGTATTTATTTTTCTAGTGTATACTTTTGGTGGTTTCTCTCTCTCAGATACATACATACACACACACACATATATATACATATACAATATATTAACACACACACACACACACACACACATCTCCTCTGTTGATAGCTGCTGCTTCCTGCCTGCCATGCAGTGAACTGTTCCTCCATGCTGCCCTGCCTTGGAATCAGCTGAAACCTCTACAAACTGTGAACCAAATTAACCTCTCTCCTCCTTTAACTTGTGGATGTCGGGTATTTTGTTTCAGCATTGAGAAAGTAAGTAAGACAGCTACCTGAACTTGTAGGCAACCTCAAGGAAAGCATATTGTCTTCTGCATATTGCATTTAAATGAAAAGAATGTGAATATGGAATCATGTATTTATGGGTTAAAACATTAGTTAATTCCTCTTTAAACGAATTTAGTGACCTTAGGCTAGTTACACTTTTGACAATGTTTCATCCTCTGCAATATAAAGATAAAAATACCTTCCAAGGGTGGGTTCTTGTAAATATTAGAGATAATGAGATAAAGCGTTTGAAATATATCACTCAGAAATGTTGACCATTTTTATTAATTTTATCGGGAGATAGTGATACATATCATATATATACATGAATGACCTTTAAAACCATACTTTAAACCATGAGTACCTATATAAGTGTTTACCTCTTTCTTTCCCTCAGCTCAGGCACACTGAGGGAAAACAAATTATTGAAATAATATTTTCATTATTTGCCAGAGATATTAAGGCCAAATACTGAAGGTTAAAATTTATTTAACATCATTGCGGGCACGTCATTATGCATCTGTGAGATATATTTTGCATTGTAAGAATGCTTAAGAGATAGGATTTTAAAGAAAGTTAGGATGTGTTTTCTAGTACTGCCTTTTATAGCAAAAGTGTCAATTGATTGACTTTATGTTTTCTCTGTTGCATAAGTTATATTTTCATTCATATCCATTTATCCCTAATATCTATATGTGCATGGTTTTGACCTCTTCAAGACTAATTGAATTAAAAGTAAAATATGATGAAAAGTAAAAGCAAAGAATGAAAGAAATTCTGGAAGACACATTACAAAAATCAATTAAAAATTCAGAATATACTTTTTGGGTAATCAAAATTTTTCCTTTTTTTGATTCACTATATATGGATGTAGTTTTCTTTAAACCAAATGCTAACACAAGGCTGGGGTGCACAATTTTAGTTCTAGTATGATAGAATTTTAATTGGGAAGGGAACCCCAAACTTGTTTAATATAACCATGCTATTTATGAATGGAGAAATTGAGGCCAAAAAGAAGTCAAATAACTGTCCCAAAACTGAGGCAGTGTCAGAAATTCATATAAGTGTCTGGTTCCCAGAACTGACACTGTTCTGTTGGTTACATCAGTCTGGATTCTTCTAGAACATTTAGCACTTATTTTCTAATTAACTGAAAAAACCAAGGGGATGATAATGGCGATATTTTTAGGGATTGTTGTGGCACCAGTCGCTGGAAGAAAAAGAACATTTTAACTGCAATAAGCTTGATAAAAGCTATGCTTCAGTTCTTTACAACTCCTTTAAAGCAAGAAAAGCACATAGTTTTCTTCTACTAAGTAATTAGAAAATACAGGTAGACATAGCAGGTTATAAAAACTATACTTTAACCAATACATAACATTTAATTTCCCCCCATATAATTTCTCACACTTTCATTTTAAAACATTTTATTAAGGAGCATGAACAAGATCAAAGGCTTAGAGATATTATTTAAGAATTGGTGTTTCTTCCAATTGCCTGGCACAATGTTTGCAGTACTTCTATGTATCTTGAGTATTACCTATCTTTAATTTGCCTTTAATCTTCCAGTATCTTGCTGCAAAGTTTCAACACAAACTTTAATAAAACTCCTTGCATTTTCCTTGAGATTGTCCTGATCTTTTTTCTTTATCTCTGTTTTGTTCAAGAAATTTATATTCTTCTGCCATGGTTACAAGTTCTTCTGGGATACTCTGATTGGTTCTCTTCAGAATGTTAATCAGTTCATTGGCAATCTTCAAATCATTTTTAGTAATGAGAGTTATTGATGTGCCATTCTTCCCTGCTCTTCCAGTACGTCCTACTCTGTGTACATATTCTTCAGCATTCCATGGGAAATCATAATTATATACGTGTGTGATATCAGCAACATCGAGACCTCGGGCTGCTAAATCAGTTGCAATCATTATTTTCACAGCTCCAGTTTTAAATTCTTCTAGTGCCTGTTCACGTTCTTCTTGCTCCCTATTACCATGCAATATTTGTACAGGTATGCCCTGGATGCCTAAATCACTTGATATGTCATCAGCAACAAGTTTTCTGCTAACAAATATGATGACTTTATCTTCAGATGCCATGTTATTTAAGAATTCTTCAATATGAGCTCGTTTTTTCTCTTCTGTCGTAATAATTATATTTTGCTTCACTGTATTTATGGCAGATAGATTCAGAGTACCAACATAAACCATCATAGGCTCTTTCAAATAAGTTTTGGAAAGTAGATTGGCAGCATCTGGCCAAGTTGCGCTTGTCATAACAGTCTGACGGTCTGGACGCACATCTGACAGAATCTTCATTATCTGGGATTTGAACCCCAGATCCAACATTTTGTCTGCTTCATCTATAACTACAAAAGTTATGTTTCTTAAGCTGATAAAGTTGTTCATCTGCAGATCATTTAATCTTCCAGGAGTGGCAATGATGATATCTACACCTTTGGCCACATCTTGTATTTGTTCCTTTCTATTTTTACCACCATATACACAAACACTTTTAAGATCATTATATGCGTACTTAGAACATTCACTTTTCACCTGAAGAGCTAATTCTCTAGTTGGAGTAAGGATTAGCATGCCAGGTCCATTCCTTTCCTCTTTAGTTACTGGTTGCGAAATGAGATGAATAAAACCAGGCATTAAATAGGACAATGTCTTGCCTGTTCCAGTTTGGGCAACTCCTATAAGATCTATTCCTTGTAGAATAATTGGCCATGCTTGTGACTGAATTGGTGTTGGCTTTTTTAGACCTGCCTTGGTTAAATTTTCCATCAGTTCAGAATACTCCTGGAAGGCATACTCAAATTTACAAATTGGATTAGGAATTGGACGTTTTTTACCTTTTGTCAGATCATTACACATTACATTGAAATTTTCCTTTCTCCATTTATCTACTTCATCTGCGGACATCAAGCTTGTCTCTTTGGATTCTATGTAAACGTTTTTCTTAATCGGAGGTAAATCTGCCCATTTTCTTTGTTCCCACTCCATAGTTGCTGCCCGGATCTGATCCCAATCTATCAGTGGCTGAACTCTCTTAACAGTGTTACTTGTGCTTAAACTTGTTCCAGGCTGGGATTGAGACGCAGCATTATTTACAGGACTTTGAGATATAGCATTATGAGCTGAGGCTTGGGATGTGGCATTATCAACACCGGATTCTGAATTGGACTTTTCTTGTTTTTTAGCAAGAGCTTCTATGGCTGCTTTGGCCTTTATTTTCATGTCATCGCTACCAAAAATTTTTACTTCTGCTTCAGAACCCCCGGTTATGATTTGTATCTTAGTGTTTGTCAAACACTGAAGATCTTTTATTTTTGAACCACCACGGCCAATTACAGCACCGATCATGGTATTCTTCAAGCTAAAGCAGAGTGGTGGTCCGCGGGGGTTTGCTGCCCTAGGCCCCAGATGGCCAGAGGGACCACTGTTGCTGTCTCTGCTTTGGCCTTGGCCCCGGCCCCAGCCCTGGCCCCGGCCCCGG